TACTAGAGAACTGTTAACTGGTTAAAAAAAAACCTAACCAAAAATTCTAGGAATTGCCTTAAACACCAGAGGTCACTTTAAATAACGAACCTGCCCTCAGGCTCTCACTCACTCTCGTGCGTCTGGCCTCGGCCTTGCCCCACACACGTCGGTAATTGTGTTCACCTGACGTTCTTGTAGTGACAGTGCTTAGATAGGCCAGATGCGAGACTGTTGTAAAGGGTTATCTCGGGGCATGTCACCTCGGTTTGTAAGTTTGTCTTGGTGTGTTTGTGTTCTCTCTTCAGTGAGTGTGTGTAGGTGTTTGAGTGTATGTAATGCAGGGAGTGTGTATCTTTACAGGAAGAGGATGCACATCTCTGAAGGAACTTTGCCTGTATTTCAGGGATTCTCAAAATGAACTGTTAAATAAATACAGGAGGCAGTAATAAAGGACTACATATTGCATGATTCCGTTTATATAAAATGTCCAAAATGGACAAATTAAAACCACACAGAGGTACCATTTTACACCTAATGTGACTAAATAAAAAAGGCTGACAACACTAAATATTGGCGACATTAAATATGCGGAGCAACTAGCCCTCACTGGTGTGGCTCAGTGGTTGAGTGCTGGCCTGCAAAGCAAAGGGTCACAGGTTCGATTCCCAGTCTGTGGGCCAGGTCTCCAGTGCAGGGGGGGGGGGGTGCATGCAGGAGGCAGCCACACATTGATGTTTCTCTCCTTCTCTTTCTCCCTCTCTTCTCCTCTCTAAAAGTGGATAAATGAAATCTTTAAAAATATGTGGAGCAACTGGAACTCATACATAAATCACTTAGGCAGTTTGTTAGTAAAGTTAAATATACATCTACCTACCCTATGACTCAGTAATTCAACTTTTAGGTATTTACCAAGAGAAATGAAAACATATATCCAAAAGAGAATTGTAAAAGAATGTTCATAACAACCTTATTCATAATTACCCAACTTGGAAATAAAACAAATATCCGTCAGGAGAAAAAGAGATAAACTGGGGTATATTCACACAACGGAATATTATTCAGCAATAAATAATTACTGATAAAAAAGCACATGCATAAAACACAGATAAGTCTCAAAAACAGTTACATGAAAGAAACCAAACACAAAAAAGCACAAATTACTGTATGACATTTACTTGAAGTCCATGACTAGGCAAATCGATGGTGTCAGAAATACAAGGGGCTGCCTCTGCAGGAGGGCAGGTGAGGAAATGGCGGAAAGGAGGGAAGGGGTCTGGGGGACCGGGGAAAGTGCAGGGAATAAGTAGCACACATGATAGGTACAAAATAGACAGGGGAAGGTTAAGAATAGTATAGGAAATGTAGAAGCCAAAGAACATGTATGTATGACCCATGGACATGAACTAAGGTGGGGTGGAATGTGGGTGGGAGGGGGTGTGCAGGGAGGAGGGGAATAAAGGGGGGAATGGGACAACTGTAACAGCATAATCAATAAAATAATTTTTTAAATAAAAAAATTCTAAAAAGTTTTCTAGCTTGTTTTGGTAGAAGTTACATTGTATAAAATTACTAGAACTTCTTAAACTGGATACTCAGGATATAGGCACTATACTGAATGTTAATTATACCTCATAAAAAATACAAAGTAGGGCTGCTTTAAGGCAAAGGTTAAAGACTTTGTTTCAAATGAAATCTACATTACTGCACATACATTTTCAATTTTTTGCCACTTTAGATTATTCACATCTCTATTCCTTATTACAAATAATGGATTACACACAAGTGTAACTAATGGATTACACACAAGTGTGGGTAGAGAGACATAAGTATGTGTTCATGTTTAAACTTTCATAAATAGAAACTCGAGTTTGAGTCTTCAGGACTGCACTACATGTACCCAATGGACTGTTAAAGGTCCAGTAGAATTTTATTTTTTATACTACTTTCCTCCCAATATGATTTTATAGTTGTGACTTTAGAGGCTTGAAATAAAACTGAGAGTAAGGCATATAAATCAAATGTCAGCAACAAAGACTGATGATAGACAACAGTGCTTTAGCTACTATAACAGCCTAGAAAATAATGCCCTCCTCAATTACTTTAATTAAGAGAAAGCCCATAATATTTAAATTGAAGGGGCCTCCTCCTCCTGTTACCAGGTCCTCCTCTTCCTTCCTTACTCTTCCTCTTTCTCCTCCCTCTCTTAGACCCTATCCAGGTATATCTGTATCCCCACCACCTCTCACCCTCCCTGTAATATTGCTTGAATCTAATTGATTTTCATATACCCGGCTCACCCCAGGTTCCAAATAAAAAAATTTACAGAACTGTACAGTATTCTACTGTAGATATGACACATACATTCACACAATACACAGGCTATAGCCTGGGAAGACACAGATGATCAGTGAGTGGAAAAAAGATGACTTCATTTGTTTCCAAGCCCACAACTGTAAAAGATCTCCCCCTCTGAACTCCTACCAGTTTTTACTCCCTACAGATGGCTCTTATATCCCTCTGAACTATAAACAGGTACACATGCCTAACCTCAAAGAAAGTTAGGTTCTCAGACAAAAACCGTGTCCTCATGTCTGTATTTACCACAAGCCTAATGACTTTACCACAATGACTTACACGAAATGTGGCAAAACACATGCTGAATCTATGAATTATTGAATTAATATGAATGAAAACAATTGAGAGTGGAAGAGGATGAGAGAGGAGAAAACACTATGAGGATTCAGCAAAGAGAAAGGAGAAGCGAAGGAGAGTAGAAATAACAGAAAAAACTTGTGAAAGCAATTATTTTTTGTTAGAATGAGTAGGATTATTTTTTAAAACTGAGAGTTGGAAAAAGCCATTACTATGCATATAATATCAGAGCTAGGAGCACTTATCTTTAAACAGTCATTATTAACACATAAAGTGTCTCCCAACCCTTGATATTCACTTACTCTCTGACAGTAACTTATGACATGCCCTATCCGACATGCAGGTTCTAGGCCCCTACTTCAAACCTACAGGACCCTGGGTGATTTATGCATGTTCATATTTGAGAAGTACCATCCCACACCATTCAGGTCCTTTCTGTTGTACAGAACCTGTGTTTTATTTAAATGGGCCGGTAGCTGAGACTTGAAAAAACCTCTGATTGGAGTGAAACCTGATCATCGTAATGGGATTTGAACTGCTTGTATTTAACTTTAGGTGAAGTGAATTACAGAGTAATTTGGCCCGAAGGGTTTATAACAAAATTTAGAATTAATCATAAAAATATGATTAAAGGAAATTGAGCAGGTCAGTAACATCCTCCAGAACTCATTTTTATTCCTTCTTGCCTAGCACAGGGTTTGGAATGACACATGTGGCCAATGTTTCTTGAATGATAATATAAATGAATTTTTAAAACTCAGAGATGTTTAGGGCCAGAATAATGTTGTGGTCATCTGGTCCAACAACCTCATTTTAAAAATGAGCAAGCTAGAAATCCTGATAAGTAACCTGAAAATTGGAATACCATATTTTGCTGTGTATAATGTGCTCCTGTGTATAATGTGCACCTATGTTTTTAGCCCAAAATTCCAGAAAAAAATTCTTTCACTTTCTTAATTCCACTTTTTATTTATTTGTATTTAGAAACAAAACCGATGATTGAATTCAAGGGTATTATTTTGCATATGGATATAACTATTGCTTTCTAGAATTACACTTAATACATAAGCATGAATAAGATAATTAAAAACATTTATCTAGATACAGAATTAGTACAACCCATGAATAATATGCATCCTTGTTTTCCCCTTAAAAATTTGGGCAAAAAGTGTGCATTATACACAGCAAAATATGGTATATTGGATATGATATTTTAATTCCCTTTTTGTTCCTTTGGTAGGAATGTGTTAGAAAGAGGATGTTAAGTATTACACTAAAATGACTGAGGGCTTTTATAAAAGTGATAGGGTAAAAAGGTGCCTAAGACTAGTAAGAGCCTAGCATAAGTCAATGAGGCTGAACAAAACTATTTTTCTAAGCTTATTTTTCTTTGGACAGGCCAATTAATTAATCAATTTAATCTACTGAAAAAAAATAATCTAAAGGATTCTGAGAAAAAGAAACATGAGCTGCATGAAAATGTTACAAACCAAGGGAGACCGCACATAACTAATTTAAATCTCCACAGGCTTATTTCCTGTTCAAGTATGACCTCCTGGGATAAGTTTTACTGCAGTGTTCATTACCAGATGACTTTTGGTTTTAAGAGAAGCCAAGGGCAAGTTGGAAACGCAATTCTTAACTAAACTTAAAACAAAAACCAAAAGTCCTGCGGCTGTTTCTCATTTGTTTATAATCAGAATGCAGGCTTGCAGGGGAAACATACCAATCTCCGTAGGCAAAAATATAACCACCCAGTCACGTCCTCAAAAGAAATCAATATACAAACTTCACAGCCGGACCCAGCTGCGCTGCACAGAAGCCAGGAATATATTCTAAGAGCAGATAGATCAAAACGGCAAATGCCAGACAAGTCAGATTTCAATTAAAAAAAAAGGGTGTGCCCTAAGGTGTTTTTTGTTTTTTTTTTCCTTTCCACTTTGAACAAGTAGAAGCCTTCGAAAGGGCATTGGTGAGAAAGCCCTTTTAAGATGATCATTCCCCGAGCTAAGCCTGGGTGGGGTGGAAAAGATGGATAGGCACTGAGAGCTTGCACTGTGCGGCCAACGCCGGGAAGGGGCCGGTTCCCACCCCAGGGAGGCCGGGCCCCCGACTGATTCATCAACTCAGGGTTCGCGCGCCTCCACCGCAGGCGACGCCCAGCGCGCCCCACGGCCCCACCCGGTACGGTCGCCCCGAAGCAGCCCTCAGCGTTCCCCCACTCCCCGAGAGGGACCTGTAGAGGGAAGGAGACCAAAGCAGGCGGCTGAAAGGCAGCAACCTCTCCTTCTTGAGCCACCATGGCCGGTGCGACTCCAGCCCGCGCCCGTAGACGGACTTCCTGGAAAGCACCAGGCTGGACTCACCTGACTGGCGCCCGCTGGGGACACCGACTACTTCACAGACCCGCGGGGACTGCCTCCACCTCGGTTCCCAGTACCCGCCGGTCTTGCCTACTTCTGCTTCCGAAGGTGTTGCCGGACCCACAGCCAGCAGCAATCCCAACTCGACCGCGCTGTCGGTGCGGCTAGTTCCCCGACCTCCGTCACCCACGCGCGTGCGCATTTTCAGGTCGCAGGGCATCCTGGGAGTTGTAGTTTCGAGCGAAGGTGTAAGAGCTCAGCGCTTAGCCCGGGTCTTTACAAAAGATCTGCAAGACATTGGAAGCAGCTATGGATAACCAGGCCTAACTCCAGCCTGGGACAACGCTCTCTGCTCGTGGAAATATTTAACTTCGACTCTCTGGAGCTATGAGCAGCAGCTAGAGGCTCTATGGTATAGATTTCCTCTTTACATAAAGAGTTTTACTAAAGAGACACGTGAGGCAGGGTTTGTCTTGTATGGGCTCCTGAAGTAGCTAATGCGAGGACGTGACATCGAGTCCTTTAAACTTGTTATAAAAAACTGATTGGTGAACAAACAAAAGCTAAGGCACAGAGGGACAAGAATCAGGCGTATATCATCTAAAGGGCGTAGTGACTGTAGTGATTTCTTTAGGCCTGCAACCAGGGATGATGTCGTAGCCCTAGCATCGGCATTCCCCTGCAGTTTCGGCCCATCCCTTTCCCGCATTCCAACTTCAAGCTCTGCACCTGGAGGTGGAGCTGGGCTAACGAGAGAGGGCGCTGCTCAAAGGAGGAAACTGGGACTGATGGGTAGCCCAGAAGGGAACAGGAGGACAATGGAGAACTGCCTTTTGTGGCTCTGAGGAGAGGGAACAGCGATGGCCTTCCATTCATTCATTTACTCACTCGGAATTTTTTGCCCTGCTTTTCAGGAGTAAACCATTCCCAGGAGTATTGTTCAGCTTTGAAACACCTCTTACAAAAATGTTGCCAGGAGGAAGACTAAAAAAATGCCTCCTTGAGGTACATTCCAGAGTGGGAGCTGACTAATGGCTAAACCTCTCCTGGCATCTACTTCTTCACTGGGAGCAAGGAGTACCCCAGGTAAAGTAAACATCCTGGAATTTCATGTAACTGGTACCCACTAATCACAGCAATAAAGATAACCGATGATTTGGAGTTTTTAAGAAAAAAAACTCTCCTAAATTGCAAATACTCGTAGATGACCAACAACATTAAATCGTGTGACTATTGCATCTTACTTTTTATTATATTTTGTTGATTATGATATTGTCCCAATTTTTCCTCCTTTGTCCCCCTCCTCCCAGTACCCCACACTCCCTCAGACAATCCTCATACCTTTGTTCATATCCATTGGTCATGTGTAGGTTCTTTGGCTTCTCGATTTTCTATACTGTACTTTACATCCCCATGGCTTTTCTGTAACTACCAATTTCTTCTTCTCAATCTCCTCACCTCTTCACCCATCCCCCACAACCTTCTCTCCTCTGGCAACCATCAAAACACTCTCTCTATCCATGATTCTATCTCCATTCTTGTTTTGGTTCTTTAGATTCGATTGTTGATAGATTCGTATATATTGCCATTTTATTGTTCATAGTTTTGATCATCTTTTTCTTAAATAAGCCACTTTAACATTTCATAAAATAATAGTTTGGTTATAATGAACTCCTTTAGTTTGCTCTTCTCTGGGAAGTTCTTTATCTGCCCTTTGGTTCTAAATGATATCTTTGCTGGGTAGAGCAATCTTGGCTGGAGGTCTTCACTTTTCATGATTTTGAATATTTCCTATTAATCTTTCCTAGCCTAGAAAGTTTCATTTGAAAAAATAAGCTGACCGTCCTATGGAAACTCCACTGTTGGTAACTAACTTCTCTTTTCTTGCTGCTTTTAAGATTCTCTATCTTTAACCTTTCTCATTTTGATTAAGATCTGTCTTGGAGTGAGCCTCTTTGCATCCATCTTGTTTGGGATTCTCTTGGCTTCCTGGACTCGCATGTCTATTTCCTTCACATAATTAGAAAAGTTTTCTTTCATTATTTTTTCAAATAGATTTTCAATTTCTCACTCTTTCTCTTCTCCTCTGGCATTCCTATGATGTGAATGTTGGAACCCTTTAATTTGTCCCAGAGGCTGCTTATACTATCCTAATTTTTTGAATGCTTATTTCTTCTTGTTGTTCTAATTGGTTGTTTTTTTCTTTCTTATGTTCCAAATCATTGACTTGATTTTCAGCTTCATCCACTCTACTGATGTTTGCCTGTAAATGTTCTTTATTTCAATTAGTGTATCCTTCCTTTCTGACTGGATCTTTTTATGCTGCTGAGATCCTCACTCAGTTCCTTAAACATCCTTATAAACAGTGTTTTGAGCTCTGCATCTGACAGATTGCTTATCTCCATTTTGTTTAGCTCCTTTTCTGGAGTTTCAATCTGTTCTTTTATTTGGGTCATGTTTCTTTGTCTCCTCATTTTGGCAGCCTCCCTGTGTTTGTTTGTATGTATTAGGTAGAACTGCTATGACTCCCTGTCTTGGTAGTGTGGTCTAGTATAGTAGATGTCCTGTAGGGTCCAGTGGCACAGCCTCCCCTCTCACACAGGCTTGGTACCTGAAGTGCACCCTTTGTGTGAGGCGAGTACACCCTCCTCTTGTAGTTGAGCCTTGATTACTGTTGGCACATCAGTGGGAGGGATTTACCCAGGTCAATCAGCTGCAAGGACTGGCTGTGACCACTGACCACCAATCTCCACCCTCCATGGAGGATTATCTGTGCAGGCGCAGTGTGGTGGTGCTCCAACATGGCCTGTAGTTGTCTACTGGGTGTACTGCCATAGAGGTTACCTGGGTGGTATGGGCCAATGTCAGTCCCCACCTGTGTTTTGCCAAGGGACACCCTGCCTGAGCTATACAACCATCTGAGATGGCTATTACTTGTGCTGGGCTTGGAGATTCTCAGCTGAAAGCAAGTGGTGAATTAGGCTGGGTGCTGCTAGTGCCAGGCCTGGGACTCCTTAGCAAGAGGTATAGGGGCTGGGGGCTCACTGAGGCTGGCTGTTACTTATTTGAGAAGATTTAGGAAGTTGTGAAGCATAAGCCAAATTCAGCCATTTATATCATAAAGTATCTTGGGTGGGCTGGTAAGTTGGGTGGGACTGAGTCAAAGGATCTCCAGGGCAAGGCAGACAATATTAGCCAGGATGATGGAGTCTCAGATATGGTACCAGCTGACCAGCTCTGTGGGTCTGTTGGGGGAGGGTTCAGAAATGGGACAATAGTCTGCATTTCTGTGTGGAATAAAGCAGTCTCCCAGTTCTTGCCTTGATGTCAGACACTGCAGTTTTTCCTTGCATGCCACTGGTGCCTTTCAAGCTGCTGCCCCAGAGGTGGAGCTCAGAGGGAATGAGTCTGATGAAACCCGTGTGTGGGTTCTTTTAAAGGAACTACTTGAGACTCCAGAAATTCCTTCCACTGACTCAGTCCCTGCTGGTTTTTGCAGCCAGAAGTTATGGGGACCTATCTTCCTGGCACTGGAACCCAGAGCCAGGCAGCCTGGTGTGGGGCTGGGACTCCTCACTGCAGAGAAGTCCCACCCACATTTGTATCCACCACATGTGGGTGTGGCACCAGTCCTCCTACCAATCTGGACGGATGTAGTTTCTTTATGTAGTTGTCAGACTTCCATTCAAGTCAATTTCCGATGTTTCCGAGTGGTGGTTGTTCTCTATGTTAGTTGTAACTTTCATGTTTTTGTGTGAGGAGGCCAGCCATGTTTACTTAAGCAGCCCTCTTGACTGGAAGTCCCTCTATTGCATCTTCGTGTGAATCACTTTCTCAAATATTCTTGCAGATAACAGCTTTCTGAGAGCAACTTCCTATAGAGTGCAGGTTCAACTAATAATTATCGAGTACTTAATTCACACCAGGCAGTGTGCCAACACTTCACTTATAATAGCTATCCAATCCACAAAACCCTAAAAAAGTATTAGTATCTTTCATTTCTACGAATAAGAAAACTAAGATCTAGGCAACTTAGGTGCAATACTTTGCACAAGGTCACACATCTAGTAATTGGAGATCCAGAAATAAAGCCTAGGTACCCTGACTGAAATGCTAGTGTGCAATTTCACTGTTGAGTAGATCAGTGTGTCTCCTAAATCCCATCAAATTCTTTAAAGTGAAATAACCTGGGACCATGTCCAAACTATTTGGAAAAAATTCTCTAACACAGTACAGGAAGATGGTACTCCGACTGACTGGATGAAATTAGTATCTGGTTCGTTTTATAGTTCTATTTTTCATTATAAGTTAGTATATAGGTATTCTGGCTTACTAGCAAGTCTCCTGTGAGTTCCTGCTACATCTCTGGGTCGTCATACTCCAGGGGAAACTGACAAAATGGAATTCTTGAACAAAGCAGAGGACCATGGCCATCCAGATAGAGGGGTTTTTTGGTGTTCTTTTTAAAAAGCTTTTATTTATTTATTGTTTAGAGAGAAGGGAATGGAGGGAGAAAGAGAGGGAGAGAAATATTAATGTGTGGTTGTCTCTTGTACACCCCCCATCCAGGGACCTGGCCCACAACCCAGGCATGTGCCCTGTCCAGGAATTGAACTGGCAATCCTTTGGTTCACAGGCTGGCACCAAATCCACTGAACCACACCAACCAGGTTCAGAGAGGGTTCGTTTTGAGGATTTCCCTGTCATGTGGCTCCTTTTGCTTTGCTTTGTAGGCAGAAATGGCTATCAATGCAGCGTCCAAATTAATCTACAAGTTTCCTTCCTGACCTTCCAATATGGGGTCTAGACATACATTAAATATACATCCTCCTTTTGTTATTCATCCCAAGGGTTTCCTAACAAATGTCTGAATTTTATTTTAGTTTCTTTTTGCAAAATGATCTTATTTGGTGTTTGATTTTTTCCTTTCTCCAGACAATGTTACCATATTGTAATCACAAGGCTTACAAACATGTATCTACAAACATGTACATTCAGTATCACATGTGGGGCCAGGGGTATTAAGAATAACATCCTAGTGTCAGATAACAATGTAAAACAAACAAAAAAAACCCCCACAACCTTTTTCGGTGCTTTCACTTTTGCTACAATCTATTCCCTATACCAGCAGGCAGAATGATCTCTTTGAAAACTAATCAGATCATGTCACTCTCCTGCTCCAAACCACC